CTTTTCCAACCAATGTATGTATTTTTGTCCAATATTTTCTTGTTTTCGTGCAAGTCCACCACATATGATAATAAGTACCTGAGTACCTAAAAAAATAAGAAGAAGAAAATTTCACTAGTTAGAGTTTGCAGCCAGGTAGCCAACTAGTATTTTCTCATTTTTTTCTGGAACTATTTCTATTCTTCAGCAGGTAGTATCAAGTCTTCTGCTGTTATGGCTTGCTTCTTCAGCTTGTCATTTTGTTGAAGAATTTGATGAAGCAGTTCCTTCTTCTTTTGTGGTTTGAATCGTTCTGGCTAAGTAGGTTAGATTGATTGATTTAGGTATCGAACTACCTTTGCATACTTCAGCATTTCAACAACATTTTACCGGGGGAATAGAATTTGCTTGTGGAAAATCGAGGTTTGCAGCTTTCCAAAGTTTTTCCCATTCCTTATAACAACTGGATGAAGAGTTAAATCTGAAAAAGAACTTGAAGGTGAAATGACAAGCACATTGGGGCTGAGGATTTTACTTTTTTTTCTTCTTGGTTATTTTTAAGGACAGATGGATTGGAAGTTACTGAGCAAGACAGAGCTGTCAATCACAGGCAGCATTGGAAGCCTTATCGGGATAAAAGATTGTGTAAAAACACCAGGAAAAGGAGGTGAAAATAGGCTTGCCGGGGAGTGAGTTGATAAAGAACTTGTCCTTATCTCAGATCGAGTGCCAAGTGGATGGGATATTTGAGGAGGGGAAATGAACTTCATATGAGGGAGATGATGACCAAGCCAGCTAAATTTTTAAAAGCACTAAAATATAGGATTAACACACAATATACTTGTAACTCTAAAACAAAAATAAACAATAAAAGCAGCAGCTTGAATACAGAGCTCATAAACATCCAGGTAGCCATAGTGATAGCATTTAGACTTATATACTGCTTCGCAGCCCTCTCTAAGCGGTTTAGAGTCAGCCTCTTGCCCCCAACAATCTGGGTCCTCATTTTACCGACCTTGGAAGGTTGGAAGGCTGAGTCAACCTTGAGCTGGTCAGGATCAAACTCCAGGCTGTGGGCAGAGTTAGCCTGCAATACTGCACTCTAACCACTACACCAATAGCAATAGCAATAGCACTTAGACTTATATACCACCTCATGGTGCCCCTCTGTGGTTTAAAGAGTCAGCTTCTTGCCCCCAACAATCTGGGTCCTCATTTTACTGACTTCAGAAGAGTGGAAATTCTGAGTCAACTTTGACCTGGTCAGGTTCGAACTCCAGACAGTGAGCAAAGTTAGCCTGCAATACTGCACTCTAACCACTGGGGCACCACCGGTCTATGTATGAAAAGCAATATATGGATTGAATGATTAAAAATGCTTGGAACTTTACCTAATCCTCAAAAGTCATCAAAGATAGTACCAAGCACAGCTCACTTTGAAGAGGCCAGGAAGTTCAGCAAAAATGCCCCACTGAAAAAGGAATTTAAAGCTTTTGTGGTTCGCCGTCAGCAGGTGCGGATGGCTGAGGTCTCGGAGAGTGAGGACTCAGATGAGGGCCCGTGTGTGACACAGGGATGGGGCCAGGACCATCAGGGAGTGGAGTGCTGCCTTTGGGGATTGTGGAGGCTGGCAGCAGTGATAAAGAGGTTCCCAAGGAGCCTGTGCCCAGTGCGCATGCACGCAGGGCTGCTGGAAGGAAAGAGCAGCTGCAGCAGCACAGGCGACTTGGGAGTAAGGCTGCAAGGTGATGGCCCCTCCCTTAAGAGATAAAAGCCAGCCTGAGAGACCAGAGTTCTTTGCAGAAAGCAAACAAGTTTTTGCATTTCAAGCTTTGTGGACATTTGGTTTATCTTGGTTTGTGTTTGGAGATTTTTTGTTTGGAATATTTCTTGGCAACTTAATCTAGTGCTTTTGGCAGCCTTGCACAACCTTGGCAAGGCTCGTTCTTATTAGAGATAATTAGTCTTAATAGCCTTTTAACCACGAATGAAAGGAATTCGTAGATAAGCATTAAAAGGTTTTGCTGTTATTGCTGGAGTTGGCATTTCGCCCCCCCCCCCCGTCCGTCCACTTGGCAGTTAGAAAGAACAGAATTTCTTGTGTGTGTGTGTGTGTGTGTGTGTGTGTGTTTATAACAATTTTATTAATTTATGATATAACATACCTCTCCCCAAATGCAAAGGCAAAAAGAAGGAGAGATGGGGAAGGGAAAGGGGGAGAGAAAAGTGTGGAAGAGAAGGGGAAAAAAGAAAGAAAAGGCATTGTCTTCCGACTCCCTTTGATGCAGTAGAATGGGGTAATAACATCAAATCACAACTTTTTAGTTTAATATAGTAAACACTATATTTATCTAATCAATCAATCAAAATCAAGTGAGGTACTAATACCAATCTGTAAAGCCTTAGTAAGACCACACCTAGAATACTGCATCCAGTTTTGGACACCACACTATGAAAAAGATGTTGAGACTCTAGAAAAAGTGCAGAGAAGAGCAACCAGGATGATGAGGGGACTGGAGGCTAAAACATACAACGAACAGTTGCAGGAACTGGGCTTGGCTAGTCTAGTGAAGAGAAGGACCACGGGAGACATGATAGCGGTCTTCCAATATTTGAGGGGCTGCTACAGGGAGGAGGAAGAGGTCAAGCTATTCTCCAAAGCCCCCGAAGGTCAGACAAGGAATAATGGATGGAAACTGAACAAGGAGAAATTTAACCCGGAAACAAGGAGAAACTTTCTGACAATGAGAACAATCCACCAATGGAACAGAAGTTGCCCTTGGAAGTTGTGGGAGCACCATCACTTGAGACTTTCAAGAAGAGATTGGACTGCCATTTGTCAGAAATGGTGTAGGGTCTCCCACTTGGGCAGGAGGTTGGACTAGATGACCTACAAGGTCCCTTCCAATGCTGTTAATCTGTTAATAGGTAAAGCCCAAAATCAAAGATTCATTTTTTTTCTACCTCAAGCACAGAGTCCAGAAGTGGTTTCCAGGTGTTTGTATTTGTTTTTCCTTGATCAAAGCAGTCAATTTAGCCATCTCTGCAGATAGAATGCACAGATTTTCTGAGTGCCGTCCAAGACTTATTGGTATGGCACGCACTGTGTCAGTAATCACTGGGATTATCACAACCTGTTTGTGCTGTTATCTTCCAACTTCTGAATACGCTGTGACCTTCCCCTTGTCTTTGCCTTCTAGATTCTACTATCTCCCGGTATTACCATATCAATTAAACAAATATAACATTTAAAATGTTGCAAATTGAAATATTTATTGTACAATAAGCGTTTCTGCCTTAAACGGATTACTTACCTAGTGGTAATTGAATTATAAAGTTTACATTTATATTTTGCCAATATGGTGAATTCAAAATTTTGGGTGAAGCAATTCTAAATTTCTGTCATTTTTCCATAACCTGTCGAATGGCTTTGATTTTTAAAAAATCATTCTAACGTTATTCCCTTCTGATCCATAAGCCACATAGAGGTTGATATCCAAGGCTCAGGTGCAACTTGATATCTCTCTCTCTCTCCCTCCCTCCCTCCTTCCCTCACTCTCTCTCTCTCTTGATTAGATGATCCAGAATCATTTCAACACAATACCAAATGCAGATCGTATAAAGGGAATTATTCAATGGAGTGGAGTGGAGTGGAGTGGAGTGGAGTGGAGTGGAGTGGAGTGGAGTGGAGT